AGCCGGATATTTCAGCTCGCAATTACTCATCATGACTTCAAAGGTAATCATTATTTTTATACTTGATATGAGATTTTTCTACTTAACACGTCTCCTTACGTGCAGACTTGTTATGAATGTCGGGTCCTGTCATGTGAGTTAACACACCCTCTTAAATGTAGGTCGGGTATCTTCAACTTCGAGTCCTATCAGGTGGACTAATAATGGACTTTCCAAGACAGAATCGAGCTCTAATACGATGTGAAAATCGTGCATGTGGGTTCAACACAAGATTTACATCCAACTTAAAACTAATTGACAATAGGTGGAGTGATTTTCCTTATATTTAACCCATAAGTTTCTTATTTTTATACTCGATGTGAAATTTTTTCATTTAACATGCTCCTTCACTTGTAAGCCTGTTATGAATGTCGGGTCTTATCATGTGAATTAACAAAGACATGATGCAAAGGGCTAAGATACGAGATTTAAATTGAAAACAAGATTTATTAGTTTGAGGTTAGTGAAGGATTGAAGTAGGTATATGCCTATATATGGGTTTATTTTCAACAGCAGAATATATTAGTTTGAAGTTATTATAGATAATATAATAATAATAATAATATATAAAATTATAAATTTATAATTATAATACATCATTAAATAATTATAATAAAAAATTTAATTATAAAATAAGATTTAATCGGCAGTGGCTGCAAGCTTGAGATTCGACAAAACTGTCTCTATTTGTCTTCTAATCATTTTTTTATTTTCAAGACCTTTTTCTTTTATAAAAATAATAATTAAAAATTAATATATTAAAGATATTAATGAAAAATATTAAACTTGAAGCATAAAAATACAAATGATAAGTTATCCTTTAAAACAACAAGTAACTACTGTATCACGACATGTGAAATACTTTTTTTCAAGGAATTCGAATAAGCCGTAGCGTGGAAGAAGAAGAAAACGCTCCTATTAGAAAGTGGAAAAACACGGCTAAATCCCTATACGTCAGCACATACATCACTGTCCTGTTTTCACTGGGTAGGCAAGAGCCGGATATTTCAGCTCGCAATTACTCATCATGACTTCA